GTATGAAGATCTTTACGGTAAAAAAGTCATCGCTTATTCCACCTCTAAGAATACGAATTCAACCTTTATTTTAGATGCTAATATTGCACTCACTAACATATATCCTTTCCGCCTGCTCTCTTCTCCACCTTGGCAGTTGGTACAGCCAAGAGTTGACCTGAAATTAACCAAACTAAAGAAATCAGAAACAAATCAGTTACAGTAGAAACAAGACTATAATCAATTAAATAATTAAGTACATGTAATACATATAAATCTATATTTACAGATGGATCCAAGGATGGTGGCGCATTTGGCTGTGCCACTGTCATTGGATCCAAAACATTATCAACTAGATTACCAGATCACGCTTCCATATTTACAGCCGAATCAAAGGCCATTTAACTGCCCTCAGATATATCAAACAGTCTAAACATAAGGACTTTATTATTTTTTCGGACTCGCTGTGTTGTCTTCAAGCAATTAAAAACAATTCGTGTCAGCATCCTGTTTTACATGACATAATTGAACCACATAATAATCTTGCTACTGGCCAATACGACATCGTCTTTTGCTGGTTACCCAGCCATGTTGGAATCACTGGTAACGCAGCGGCCGATTCTGCTGCAAAGGCCGCTCTCAACAAATCTGTGACACCACTTCTGATACCTTACAGTGATTATAAACCAGTTATAAGAAGTTACATCCGGGATCTTATGTAACTATCGGTTACATCTATTTGGGTTGTCGGTCCAGATTTGAAGAGGTCATTCTATGACGATGCTGTATTGGCCATTCTCGATACAGACATGAGTATTTACTTATAGGTGAGGATCCTCCATTTTGCATCCCTTGTGATGAGGGAATCACAGTCAAGCATGTCCTTCTTGACTGTATGGATTTTTCCATCACAAGGGATAAATATTTCAGTGTCAAAACAATGAAGGATCGTTTTTATAATGTACATTCTCATTTAATTATCGAATTTTAAAAAAAAATTGAATTATTGGATAAATTTTGAACAATATGTTTTGTAAATAGATAAATGTCATTTTATTATCAATGGTAGTATAAATTAGCAAACTGTGATTGTTAGTAGCTGTATCCTCAAAGGAGGTTAAAGTATCGTAAAATTATTGTCCTCCTGAGAGCATACGTAAGTCCCAAAACTTTCAAAGTCAATTTAGCTCAACCATGCCTTTTAAACGTAGAATATTTGCCATTTTAATTTTGGCTAATTTGACTTAAATCGCAAGCGGCTGAAGGGATGATATAAATCCAGCTAGGGTCCATGCAGGTAGCAAAAGTAATGTAAGTCCCCATGATCCCTAATTTGGTGATCTACCTTCAGTTGTTGGCGATCTATAGCCAGTTTTTATATTGTATTGTCCAAATAGTGCTATTAGTTTTAACTTTCAACACTAGTTTTAGTTGTAATTGTGGTATTCTAGTTGTTTTACTGTCCCTCGTAGACAGGATTTTATCATATACATATATTCCATTGCAATGTCACATATGTTCTTGTCCCGAAATGGCTGAGATATTGCCGATGTGACGTTAAAAATTAACTCACTCACTCCATCGAATAAGCGGCTTTGTCAAGATCATGTGTTCTCTTAGACAACCAGACAAGGACCAACTTTATGGAAAGAAGTTGTTCATCCATAAAGTTTGTCCGTATCTGATTCAACAACTTCTAAACACGCTACTCAAAGAAACTTAGATAACCAGTGTAGGCCTATTTTTAAAGCTTGATCACTGTTGCTACTAGGTGAATCTTATGATCTCTTACCTAAACGCAGTTACCACTGCTTTTGTATTTTATACTACAAATGTAATATTGCATTGCCATTGTTATACTTTGCAGTAATTTGAAACGGGTTGTAAACTTAAATACGGTCATCACATTGTTTTCTTTGTTATTTGTTAGTCTTGGTCTGTATCACAGAAGCTGGCATCAAGGTATATATTGTCACTGACGGGGTCTTAACAATTACAGGACATATTTTATTTATAGCCAATCAGATCGCTGACTTTATTCAGAGCGGGGTAGTTGATAGTCAAGGTCGTCAATGGCGAACGGGCACGACAAAGGATCATTTTCGACTTATGTACGTAAACTCATAATGTCAGTTAGGTATATGTGTCTCGGAAAGAATGGCGATTGGTGTGTGTCGTCTGTGTCTACGGTGCAATAAACAAGAAATTCAGTAAACAGTCGAAAATCGGAAAATCCTGATTTTTCCAGCTTCCGAAGACTTTATCCTCCAAAGCATGATCTATGTCTCATTTTGTAGGTAAATCTATTGGCTTGAGTGAGCGAGTGAGTATGGTTTTACGCCGCTTTTAGCAATATTCCAGCAATATCACAGCGGGGAACAGCATGAATGGGCTTCACACGTTGTACCCATGTAGGAAATCGAACCCGGGTATTCGGCGTGACGAACGAACGCTTTAACCACTAGGCTACCCCAACGCTCCTTTTGGCTTGATTGCATGTATCGTTTTTTTGCGTGACAAGCCCCTGTGATCGGTATCTTTAGCAGGCTGGTGGGGTAGCCTAGTAGTAAAAGGGCTCGCTCGTCTCGCCGGAGACCCGGGTTTGATTCCCAACATGGGTACAACGTGTGAAGCCCATTCCCGGTGTCCCCTGCCTTGATATTGCTGGTATATTCCTTAAAGTGGGGTAAAACAAAATTTACTAACTCACTGTATATTTTAAGATTAGATTTAAGGGCTAACTTATTGTTTTATTTTGGAGGTCGACACGTAACAAATAGTACCATCCCAATTTTGCATCACAGAACTTGCTCGAAACAATACTTAGCCCCCTGTATTGTTCAAATACACAACAAATGAATAAGGTTTGGTTTGACGTAAATAAATAATGGAAATTGGTAATCTGGTGGGATACATTAGAAGCTTGTTTGTGTGGGCGGGAATAGACGTCGTGACGGTCAATGTACATCTACATAATGCATTACTTTCACCGGGAATAACGTTTTCAATAAAACGTGTGGTGTATATGTTAATAGAAGGGGCGTACATAAATACTCTCGTTCATTCATGGTGGTATACACTGGGACAATAGCACAAAACCTGGAATAGTATGACTTTGGGGTGGGTGATAGTCAAATCGGCAATATTTCAGCCATGTCGAGGACAAATTTAACGTTTGTAAAGATGATATACTCATTGAAACGAATAAGGGAACACCTGCAAGTACAAGTGTTCCTTTATTCTTTTCCATGTTTCTTCACAAGCTTGGTATTGCACTGTGGGTGAAATTCTGGAAAAGAATAAAGAAACACTTGAACTTTCAAGTGTTTCCTTATTAGTTTCACGAATATATATACATAATAAAACCAGACAGTAAAACAACTAGAGTACATACAAACAGGCTACAGATCGCCAACAACTGAAGACCACCTTAGCAGGTACCATGGGAACTTGCAGTAGCTTTGCTGGATTTAAACCATCCCTTCAGCTGTTGGTGAATTAGACAGATTTAGCCATGAATTAATCGAACATATATTCTATGATTAAAAATGACTAAATATACTTTGAAAGACGTGGTCTCACATACCCACTCAGGGGGACAATGATGAAATAATACTTTAACTAATTTGAAGAAACAGCCACTAACAATTTCAGTTACTAATTTGACCTACTAATTATATAATACTATTACTATTGTATATAATACTACATTGTATTTACAAAACGTATTGTAATTTTCTTTCTGACAAGCATGAAACCTTGGAACATATTTCCAACCTGTCAGTGTGCATTATTGACCAATGTCCAATACGTCACATCATTATTGAGTACGCTGTGACTTTTAATATTTATATCAATACATGCATTCGTTATGAATTATGTGCAAGTGTAATTTGTTAATTTGTAGATTAAAAAAATCCGATGAAATAGTCACGAGTCATGTGCTCATGATTCATTCGTTCGCAGACCGTTTCAGAGATTATTTTAATATGCAAATAGCAGCTTGAGTAATATATTTTGATGAAAATCAAGTAACTTCTAAATAGGTTTCAGTGTCAATGCTTCAATGTTTCAATAGTGAGAAATGATTCAACTTTAGAGTAACTGACATCGGACATGGTGAAAGTGACAGATGGCTGAATACAGTACATTCATCAAAGTGACGTGGCTGTGTCATACTCTAATTCCTTAATAATTGACAAGATCATGCTAATGTGTTTAAACTCTAGACGTACTAAACTCGTTGAAACGTTTTCACTGGCAGCAATCAGACCTCACATTGTTGGATACAATCATCGCTTCATTGAATGTGCAATCTAACAGAAAGATACACAAGTAGATAGTCCCTTTGGTAGTAAACAAGTTATGAGTGCATTTTTCGACTTCATGATGTATGTATAATTAAAAGTATCACAACAACTGCTGATCTCTGGAGAGGTTGTCACTTCACGGTACATCATATATATCATGTTCAGCCGTTTCCCAGTTCAGGCCACCAGCACTTGGTCCCAAAACACTGCCGATCATGCATGAGATCTAACCGCAATTCTTATTGTTTTTCTGAAGCTTTCATTGCTTTACATTTTGGCACTATTCAGCTTTCTGAAACAGACAGGTAATCTCTGTGGGAACCCGCCTTTGTTTAGTCATTCATTTATGGACATTCTTCAGACAAGACTGTTTATGTCTGGGGAGTCAACACACAAATCGATGAACTAAGCTGGCAGTGTCACCAAAATTCCACTTTAGAGCAAGAGTTTGGGGAAGCAAGGAGTGCTTCAATCATGGCCATAAGAGATGTGATACTGGTTTTGATACCTTGTGGTTTTGGCCTTGTTCAAAGTTCTACAATTGTTTGTGATGTATGCGAGGTAGACCCTTTGCCAGATTTCCAGAATAAAAGAATAACCGGAAGTGTTCTCTGGACCAAGACAGATATGGCTAGTCGTGCCGAATGTGCGGCTCGCTGTTCTCTCTTTAGACCGATAAAGTCCTTCGGATACAAGGGAACCAGTAGAGAATGTGTGGCGTATACCGTACCTCTCACAACACCAGCAGCAATGACGTATTCCAGTGAATCTGGATTCAACATGTATTCAACTTGTGCACCAGGTAACGGAATGAACTTTAAGATTATTTCCAGATTTAAATTTGATGAAAAAAGGACACGATGGCTTTCCTGATCATAATTTATTTTGAAGAAATAATTACGTTGAAAACGTAACTTTGATTTAATGCCACTTTGAACTGTATTCCATTCATATCCCGGCATGTCGGCCTTAATGGCCAAAGTTGTCCAGGCCTCACACCGCTTTAACGTAACTCTCGGGTTGGGGTATGATGCCAAGAAATGTTCGTACGCAGCGGGATTCGACACTACGATAAATGTTTTCTGGTGTGCCGGAACCCTAAATTGCAGCGCCTTAGACAAGAAGGCTACTTTGATTGCAAACATTTGGTTTACAATGAACGCGCGCACGTACGCACGCACGCGAACATTTCGTATTTCTTAGTGAATCCTAAAGATATGATGGCGATGATTTATATGTGCGACGCGCGCGCACACACACACTATATATATATATATATATATAATATATATATATATATATATATATATATATATATACTCGGTGTCATTAAAGAAAGGTCAAATATTGGTAACACTATTTCTTAAAAGTTGTCAAATCTTCGTTTTTCAATATACAACTGAATGTTTTAAAAATTTTCTTAACAGTACGAAAAAACACAGCAGGCTGTTGTAATATCATTATTACGTTTTACAAATGGCACATTTTTTATTCAAATTGTCAATATTGAAAACCACCTGCTACTTAATGTCAATGATTTGCACGTGCAAGTCGCTCTACCCATGGAAAGCGGAGGACAATAAACATGCACTGATGCTTTTTCATTGTCGTTCACTGTTCAGGTACCTGTTTGAAATCGCAGCTATGGGCCTTTTGGAATCCTGTCAAACTCAGCGGCAGGTTGCTCTCCGCTTTAATGTGAGTCAGAGTGCTATTGGTAGACTGTGGCAGAGATTTCAAGTCAATTGGTCCGTGGAATATGCACGTCGACCATGTCGCCCCAGAGTCACAACAGTCCGAGATGATAGGCACGTGATTATGTAACAGACTCAGCAGACCACGCAGCAGATCTTCAGACAGAACACTTCAATGTTAGCAATGTAAGGATGTCCAGGAGCACCGTTCGTCGACGTTTAAGGGCAGTCGGACTCCGATGTAGGTGACCTGCAGTTCGTCCACCACTAACACCACGTCACCGACAGGCACGTTCGAGATGCAGGAGACATCATGGCTGCTGGAATCAATGTTAATGGTCTCGCCTGCTCTTCACAGATGAAAGCAGATTCAATTTGTCCTTTCGTGATGGTCGGCAGAGGATTTATCGTCGCAACGGAGAGCGAATCACAGATGCAAATATATTGCCACGCATAACCGATTTGGCGGGGGATCGGTCATGGACGTACTCCACTGCACGTGGTCGACGGTAATCTTACCGGACAGCGTTATCGGTACGAGATTCTGGCCCGTATAGCAGTACCATTTCTGCAAGCTATGCATGGCTTTTATGGCCGACCCTCTTTACTGCAAGAGGACAACGCTAGGCCTCAAAAGATTGTCACGGAATTTCTTACCCAGCAGGGTGTAGAGTGGATTGAGTGGCCAGCATGCTCGCCAGACCTGAACCCAATTGAGCATGCCTTGGATGAACTCTGTCGACGTGTGTATACATGTCACCCAGCACCAGTGGATCTCCCAGGACTCCGCAGAGCTCAAGTAGAGGAATGGAATGCGATTCCACAAGCTTACTTTATGAACTTGATAAGGGGCATGGGACCAAGGTGCACCTGTGTCTTGGATGCGCAAGGAGGGTACAAAAGATACTAAATGACCGAGTGCTTCCTGGATATCATTTCATTTTAGGGGGTTGGTCTAACTGACTGGCTGAGTTTTTGGTTTTAGGCCGCTTTTGGCAATATTCCAGCAACATCACGGCGGGGGACACCAGAAATGGGCTTCACACATTATACCCATGTGGGGATTCGAACTCGGGTCCTCGGCCTGACGAGCCAACGCTTTAACCACCAGGCTACCCCCACCGCCCCAGGGGGTTGGTCTAAAAACTGTTTTTTTCTAGTGCTGTTTGAACTTTTTGTCTGTATGTCACGATATTACAAATATTATGATGGCACTCTTTAATTCTATTATTTCGTTTGGTTTCTTTACATGTGCTATATGTTATTGGACCCTATATTAATGACACCTAGTATTACCATCATATGTTTAGTATTCACTGAGATAGTGACGACATCTTATCTTTGCTTAGATGTGAGCGTATCCTGTTTCACCTATCACAAACACATGCAAAGGCTTGTCAATTATTGGCCTGAAAAGACACGGGAACATCTGGTACAAGTCGTGAAAACGAATTTAATCGGACGAAGGTTTTAATGATTGACGCGCCACATGTCTACGATAAATAAATGTTGTCCCTTCTTTTGTAGGGTCTTGTTGACAGTGTTTTTATGTGAATCTTTATATAAACTTTGTAGATCTAAATATGAAACACCGATCTTGACAATATCTATTTCTAGTTCAGGCTGATCATCATCAGATCACCGATATCCCTGAAACTTAAACTTGGCGAAATTTCTTTGTTTTGATTTGGGGTAACAGAAAGTTTAAGAGAAATTTCAATTCATATCTAGCAAATCGAGATCGTCAGGAAAGGTTGCACTACTCCTTGACTAATTGTTTTACCCCTGACTTTACATAGATGTTATCAATCTGTATTACATTTGTCAGTAAATTTTCAATTTTTCTTTTAATTTGGTCACTTTGTCCAGGGCCCCATTCCTCAAAGCGATCGTAGCGCTACGACAGTCGTAAGTCTATGTTAAAGTATGGGAGTTACAATCACCGTAGCGCTACGATCGCTTTGAGGAACGGGGCCCTGAACCTTTTGAAAATAATTGTAACTATGGAAGACGTGAACTCGTTATTCCTACGCTATTGATTTGTTGAGTAGATTTTAATTTTTTTCATTGGTAAAACCCACCCGTGAAGATCTTCAGCAACCCATGCTTGTCGTAAGAGGCAACTAACGGGATCCGGTGGTCAGGCCCGCGGACGTGGTTGACATGTCATCTCATCCCAATTTCCCGTAGATTGATGCTCATGATGTTAATCACTGGATTTAACTGGTCCAGACTCGATTATTTACACACAGCCACCATATAGCTGGAGTATTGTTGAGCGTGGCGTTAAACAACAAACTATAATTTGCTTTATAAATTCACAGCAGTTACTACTTTCTGTATTCATCAGTAAGTACATTTTTTAGAAATTGTGAAATAAAACACGCATTTGTTCCATGGCCCATTGAAGGTATGACATTCATTTGTCTTCAGTTGACGGTGGTGTCAGCGCTTGGGGCCAGTGGACAGGACAGCTTGCACTCAGACCTGTGGGCCCTCGCACACTATAATGAAAAGCCGGACTAGAACCTGTACCAACCCGGCTCCAGATAAAGGCGGAGCTAACTGCTCAGAGAGTCTCTCGGAAACTGGCGACATCAACTGTGGTCTATCTGAATGCCCAAGTCAGTATAACTTAATCACATTTCTCTTGTAGGATTTGCATGTGGATCTGAAAACAGACCTTGTTGCAAGCATTGGATAATTAAGATAATGAGATAATTAAGTTGGATCTTATTACCTGTTACCTCATGTGAGTATCACGTTCGGGGACTTGTTCTACCGCGGAATTCCCTTTCCTAAAAATACCAAAAGACGTTAAAATATGGTACTTATTGGTCCTGCCTGGCGCTCGGCATTAATGGGTACAACAAGGACTGGTCGGCTCGGAGTCAGTACAATGTGTCTCAGTGGAGTATCCATGCTTCACTGCGGCATGGTATCTCAGTGGGCTAGCACTATAAAACCAGCTTATGTCTGGGCTAGTACAAGCAGCCGCAGATACACATACACACGCATGCCCGTCGTCATATGAGCGAAATATTCTCAGGCACGACGTAAAACCCAATTTCACCTCACCTTTCCTAAAAGTGAAATTGTGATGTCGTAAGTGAGTGAGTGAGTTAATATTTAACGTCGCATCGGCAATATCTCAGCCATATCGTGACGAGAACATATTTGACATTGAAATGGCATATATGTATATTATAAAAACCTGTCTACGAAGGACAGTAAAACAACTAGAATATCACAATTACAACTAAAACTAGTGTGGAAAGTTAAAACTAATAGCACTATTTGGACAATACAATATAAAAACTGGCTATAGATCGCCAACAACTGAAGGTAGATCACCAAATTAGGGACCATGGGGATGATGGCGTAAGTGTGTGAGTGGGTGGGTGTGAGGATGGGGAAGGTGGAGGGAAGGGGGGGGGGGGAGATTGGGTAGAAATTCTTTTAGAATTGGGTAGAATAGCTTTTAACGTTGTTCCAGTTGTATCAGCGAGTCAGCTTGATATGGGTGGAAACCCAAACGTGTAGGGATGTGGGATATTCTCAATGTTAATGGTTCTCACAATGCTAGAAACGTGCTGAGGGTGAATTTCGGATTTGAAGCCACGATCATAGGTTTCTGAAACGTCGGTGGGCTGTGAAGTAGCCTAATGGTTAAAGCGTTTGCCCGTCACGCCGGAGACCCGGATTCGAAGACATGGCTACAATGCCTGGGAATCTATTTCTGGTGTCCTCCACCATCGGCAACATTGGCCTTAACCAAAAGCCGACGTAAAGCTTGTAATCATCATCATCATCATCATCATCATCATCATCATCATCATCATCATCATCATCATCATCATCATCCGCCGTGATATTGCTGAACACGCTGCAATATTGCCCAAAGGGGCGTAAATCACAACTCACTCATTCTACATGGTGAATTGCGCCGCTCTTGACCACTAGGCCTTGTTCCTAATTATTAATGTTTCTTTCTTACAAATACATTATTGGAGAACACATTCGCATGTAGCATGGATCATATCTAAGTGTTCATTTGCGAATGTGTTGAAGTTCTACACACTTAGTCCTAAGTCCAAACATTCTATTTGCAGAAACGCATACATTTGTTTGTTGCTGGGGTGAAGTTAATTGTTTTCTCCTTTAATGAGCACAGGTCTTAATCGTTTTTGGACGGATACTCATTTGTTTCCTTTATTTGGATTAGTACACATGTCAGGAACCGACCAATACAATTAACTCCCTTGGTTTGAGAGGCCATGAGTTAATGTCATCCGTTTTCGCGAAAGATTTCACATTTTCTATTTCTCCGAAATAGCTTGACGAATGCAGCTGATGTTTAGAGTGAACATTTTTTATTACAAGAAGATTAAAATTTGTTAAATATTTTAGTTGGATGATGACTGAGATTGATGGTTCCCATTTTTGCGTTTTTACCTCGATATTTAATTAACCATGTCATGTTGCCATGACAATATTAAGACCACGTATTTGACGTATTTGAAGGCGTATACTAAATCATTCGCAATTTGCCATTGCTATCATTTAACAAGCCACTTGAGGTTAATATCAAAGTGATTATTAATGCGATTGTTAACATTGGTACACGGCAAATGTGTTTCTGCGGTATTTTTGCAACGATGAAGTTCCGTATCCCCAAAACAGCAACGACCCTTAAGTTTTTAGGCAATAAATGTGCACACATTACAACTATTACTTATCCCTTGTCATCTGAGGTAGGTAGTATAAACCTACACCTATTTACCTCTTATCCTTCCTTTGATGCCCAGTTAATGAATATATAACAGGCATAATTAGTGGCAACACCTCTCAGATTTCCCGACAAGGGTTCCCATGTCATTTCTAGTGTCTGGAATAGTTAACTCTTATCAGGCCAGGTCTTATAAATTCAGGTCTGATGTGGCAACGGTATTATATGCAGGCAGAAGCGCAGCAAAAAAGGCCTAGACTTCCCCAAAATATCGATCAAAGGATTAACCGATTGATCTCGCACAGTGGAGTTATCAAAAGTTAAGTTGATGCGTGTAGGTTTACTAAGGCAAACGCAATACATGTCAAACGTCTTTCCTGTAAAACATAATTCACTTAGGACATACATATAATTCATACTAAATTAACGGGCAAAAGAAACGATACCAAGTCGAAATCAATGATATTACAAAACGACAAACAACCGTTGTGGAAAAGGACAGTGAATTTTGTTAACAGGTGTATGGGCAACATGCACTCAGTCATTTCATTGGAGTAGCAACAATAACAAGTCAATTGAGTCACTGTATAAATGAAGGAATGACGTGTACAGTATTCGATCACGGATGTAAACAAAACAGCATACGTGGTTAGTATATGGTATGTGCCTGGACTTCGGAGGATATCCGGTCAAACTGTACGGAACAGGTTGAGAGAGATTGGACTGAGAGCCAGGAGACCCGACGTCGGGACAGTGCTTCGTCGTCATCATCGCGCTCAACGTCTCCGTTATCTGAAATTATCCATTTGATTTTATAGACATTTCCCTCCTCTAAGGTGATGTAAAAATTCATGTACTAAAGTCTATTTGTGGACGAGTTAAACATGTTTACAAATACAACATTTTCGCAACAGATTTCTGGGTGATGCGTTTCAATCTCGCACAGTGGAGTTGTCAAAAGTTAGGTTGATGCGTGTAGGTTTACTATCGCAAACGCAATAATGTCAAACGTCATTCCTGTAAAACATAATTCACTTAAGACATGCATATAATTCATACTAAATTAACGGGCAAAAGAAACGATACCAAATCGAAATCATTGATATTACAAAACGACAAACAACCATTGTGAAAAAGGACAGTAAATTTTAATAACAGGTGTATGGGCAACATGCACTCAGTCATTTCATTGGAGTAGCAACAGTAACACGTCCATTGAGTCACTGTATAAATAAAGGAATGACGTGTCATGTATTTGATCACGGAACAAAACCACACATGTGGTCAATACCTGTCCACTGTGTGCATCCATGCCAGCCCTAACTCTCCGACGTGCTAAGAACGTCAGACGCCGTATATCTTGGCCAGGGATCCTTCGCCATATTGAAGGGCTTGGACAAGCTGACGTCGGTTTCCAGGAACAATGGCTCTAGCACGAATCTGACGATCCAAATGGTGCGATAAGTGTTCAATTGGTGACATGTCAGGTGACCTGGAGGGCCAAAGAAGCACATTGACGTTGTTTCTCAGTATATAACCCATGACACTACGTGCTGAACGTGCTGTAACACCTGGACGGGCGTTGTCCTGCTGGAACATGATCCGGTTACGGCGTTGACGTAGGAATGGTAGCACAACCGGACGCAGAATTTGATCAATGTATCGTCGAGCAGAGTGATTACTATCCACCACAACAAGATCTGTCTTAATATCGTCACATATGCCGCCCCAAACCATGACACCGCCGCCACCAAACGTTTCCACTTCCTGTACAAAGCAACGTTGCACACTTTCTCCACGGCGTCTGTAGACACGAGCCCTGCCATCATTCCTCAACATGTGGAACCTGCTTTCGTCTGAGAACATCACTCTCTGCCATTGTCTGTTTTGCCACTGGCGAACCTTGCGTGTCCATCGGGGACGTTGAGATCGATGTTGAAGCGTCAGCCATACACCACGGTAGGGTCTGTAGGCGCGGATACCGTATTGTCTGAGACGTCGTGCTGCTGTTCGTTGACTGATAGGATGTCCAAGCCCAGTCGCTGCTGATGAGGTCACAGGTAGGAAACGGTTTCTCAGGTGCAGGATACGTAAGTGTTCTGAAATTTTATGGAATCTGTGTACCAGAGGATTATTGACAATCATGTTTACCTGTATGTTAGAAATGCATTCACCCATAATTTTTGCGTGAGTGAGTATGGTGATATTGTATGAAATGAGTAATTTGTAGTTGAGATATGTATCTTTCTATTTCCCAGAGAGATGACTTCATGTAACATATATTATTTTGTAGATACTGTTTAAACAGGTGTTCTGAAACATAAGAAATCTGAATATTATTATGATTACTCAGCTTTAAGTTGTTTACACTGTTTGTGTATCATGTTTGTGTTATAAATGTATGCCAGAGGTGTAAACTAGTACAGATTTGCTTGGTAGCACTTTCATTTGAAACAAGTAACAAAATATGCTGTGTATTTTCTTGAACCGTGGAAACTTCTTATATTTGCCTAGTGGTTTGCATCATTAGACATTATTGATTGCAAATTATCTCCCCTTATAAACTAGCTTTTTAGGCAACTGGCGATGCGCTCACAGAGCACATGTCAGTTAGAGCAACAGCAACGGCCAGAGAGAGATAGAGAGAGAGAGAGAGAGAGAGAGAGAGAGAGAGAGAGAGAGAGAGAGAGAGAGAGAGAGAGAGAGAGAGAGAGAGAGAGAGAGAGAGAGAGAGAGAGAGAGAGAGAGAGAGAGAGAAAATTATACATTATGCAAAAGAATGTTCACAATATATTTTAATGACTACTATTTCATTAGTAATAGCAACTTCTGGAGTATTGCATTTATCTTTTCAAATATCTTCACATGAACGCTTTGGAAGATTCCATTTTATTT